GGGGAAATTTAGGCTGGATATAGGGAAGGAATTGTCCCCTGTGAGGGTGGGGAGGCCCTGGCACAGGTTGCCCAGGGAAGCTGTGGCTGCCCCATCCCTGGAAGTGTCCAAGGCCAGGCTGGAGCTACCTGGGATAGTGGAGGGTGTCCCAGCAGTGTGTGCAAACAGGAATTATTACTTTTAAATAACTCCAATGTCTAATATTTCAGAAAAAGTGGAAGAACACTTGGGAAAAAAAATCAAATCTGCGTCTTTCTGACAAACCCCAACTTGGAGCTGAGTCTGAGCGAGGGAGGCAAGAGGCAGATAAAGAAAAAAGAGAGATAAGTCAAACTTGAGCAAGAGCCCTGCACTGGATGTGCAGATCTCTTATCACACCCACAGCTTCAGCACTGCAGATTTTGTAATGGGAGCAGAGATTGGGGCACAAAGGGAAGGTGAGGAAAGACACCCCGGTGGTGCCTCCAAGCCCAGGGCTGCCCTTCCCCTGCATGGCCCTGGCGTGGGCAGCCACAGGGGGACACAGAGTCAGACACGAGCCTGGGAGCTCGTTGGGGAGCATTGAGGGAACCCCAAACCCCTGGTTTCTGAAAGCTCAGCCTTGGTTTTCCTCACACACAGAGCCTGGGCTTAAACCCACCCAAAATCCCACAGTAAAAAGCAACTTCCTTCCTCCAGACAGCAATCTCTGGCCTGTGTTGGTTGTGTAATTCCAGTTCTAGTCAAACCAACCCCTCATCTCTGGTATTGGACTTCCCACTCGGGTAACCAGAGAGAGCCCCAAGCCACTGTCCCTTTGTTGGGGGGAAGGACCATTTCCTTCTGTTCCCAGCGGGGGAATGGGACACAGAAGGGACCCCCAGCCCACAGAGGCATCACCTCCTGAGCCAGACTTCCTGTCCTGATAAGGGAACACCTGGTGTGCCAGGCAATTATGGACACTCAGGCCGGAGATTCCCAATTCATCCAGCTCAGGGCTGTGGCTCAGAGACATCCCCGGCCCTGGGAACACGTGGCAGGATGTTCATGGGAAGCATCTGCCCACTGCCCGACCCGCTGGCACTGCGTGGGAGCAATAGTTTGGAGTCCTTTGGCTCTAATGAAACTGTTCCTGGGTTGGGGCAGTGTGGGGAGAGCCAGGCCTGGCATTTTTTCCCAGCTTATTTGCACAGCAGGAGGGAATTCCGCTGCCTCCCAGTAACCTGGGCTAGTGGGAGGTGTCCCTGCCCATGACAGAGGGGTTGGAATATGACCTTTAATATGATTGATATGGTTAAAGATGGTCTTTAAGATCCCTTCCAACCCAAACCATTTTGTGATTCTATAATTTAACATTTCAGGTTCTTCCTAGAGGGAACCTCACAAAGCGGGACAACAAACCCCTGTGGTTTCGTGTTGTTTCTCTCCCAAAGATTGGAGCAAGTCCTTCTTTTTATCCTGCTTTGCACCAAACCTTTTCTCTTCGCCCTCAGGAGTTTTCCAGGGCCCACCCACAGCAGCTCGTGGGCATTTCCCCGTTCTCTCCTCCTCAGGGAGCATTTCTGAGATGCCAGGAGGGCTGGTGTTGGGCAAACGTGTCATTTGTCACCGGGGCACCAGCAGGGCTCCAGCTGCGTCACAGCCAACCCGATTCCAGTGTCCACCACGGATCCATGGGGACAGGGACCAGCCCCTTGGGAAGAGGGAGCTGCTCCTGGCCCGGCCAGTCCAACGGCATCGCTTCCTGTTTTGCTGTCCCACCCAGCCCTTAGTGGGTCACCTGCCCAGTTCTTTCCCTGTGACACTGAGGCAGTTTCCTCCCCACGTTATTCAGCTGCTTTGCACCAGCCCATTCCAATTACAGGCATCAAATGGAAAGTGTTAATTGCTCCATTCATTATGGGCAGGAGTCACATCCGACTGGTGATTTGTTTGCCTGGGAACTCCCCACAGGCCTGGCCAGGCTCTGAGCCCAAGATGAGCTGGTCTGGCACTGAGGGGAGGACAGCTGGAGTAAGGAATGTCACCAACATCACCAGCACAGGGGACCCCCTCCACTGACCCCCCTCAAGGAGCATTTGCTGACCATGCAACTCCCTGGATCAGGGCCCAGAGCCCACCAGAACCAGCACCAGTTTTAGGTTGACAGTTTGGAGCAGGGGAAGCCTTGTGGCTCCAGAGCATCAGGAATTTTAAGGATGTTGGAACATTTCCCCCTCACTAACAGCTGATTCCTGGTTACTTCACTGAAGGACAGGAAAACCCCAGCCTGTTTTGTAGGAGACATCTGAAATATGATGTTCTGCACGGGGTGGGGGCATCTGAAGGAGGGATCCTTATCCTATTTACAAGGGCCTGGAGTGCCAGGACAGGGGGGAATGGCTTCACACTGACAGGCAGGAGGTTTACATGGATATGGGGAAGAAATCCTTCCCTGTGAGGGTGGGGAGGCCCTGGCACAGGTTGCTCAGGGAAGCTGTGGCTGCCCCATCCCTGGAAGTGCCCAAGGCCAGGTTGGAACAACCTGGGATAGCGGAAGGTGTCCCTGCCCATGGCAGGGGGTGGCACTGGATGAGCTTTAAGGCCCCTTCCACAGAACCGCGGTGAAACGTTGTCTCTTTAAACGGCAGAAATGGGGGGGCTGAGCCCTTCCGAGCTCCCTGCAGAACTCCAGCCCCTCCACGAGCGTGCCAAGGGCTCCTCTGCCCGTCTCCTCCTCCCTGGGCTGCACCCACAGCTCGGGCTGGGCTGGGCTGGGCTGCGCTCGTTAATCAGCAGTTAATTACAAGCAGCCGCCGCCGAGCTCCTGTTACGCATCAGCTCATCCCAAACACCTCCAGCTGTGCGGGAACGGGGGCGGAGACAGGAGGTGACAAATTCCTGCGGCTCAGCCCCTGCTCGGCCACGGGATGGAGCTGCAGGACCGGGGAACGCTTCGGGTCGGAAGAGACCTCGAACATCTCGTTCCGGTCCACGAGGGACACCTCCCACTATTCCCAGGTAACCCCAAACTCTGTCCAACCTGGCCTTGGGCACCTCCAGGGCATCCCCAGCTTCTCTGGGCAATACGGGGGGTCTCATATAACATTATTTGGCATTAAGTGACTGAGTTGCTGTTTGTTTTCAGCCCCAGATCCCCGAGGCAGGGCTGGGTGAAGGTGCAGCTCCCCAGGGCAGGTTGGCCTTGCTGCTGGACCTGTGCTGTTTCCAGCACAGCTCTGACCCGGTATTCCCAGTCTCCCTGGGCTGGCCCACCCAGACCACACATCATTTTGACTTTAACCACCTCGGTGCATCTGTCTGCCTCTGCAGACAGCCCTGAGAGCTTGGTAGAGGTTTCTGAAAGGCAGAGACGCTCTAAATGCCTCTCTAAGTACTCAGCCTCTTTGTTTTTTAATTTGGAATAATGAGAAACGTGGCAGTTGCCTCCCAGCTTATTGAGAGAGCAGACAGCTGCCTTCCCAGACACATTGAGGTGCAAATCACTGCGAGTTCGGTTGCAATGCTTTTGTCCGGGAGTGGGAGAGCTCGGCGGAGTTGGGTGAATGATGCAGAGGGAGGGAGGAACCAGAGAAGTTCCTCAGATGAACACGCAGCAGTGGTTCCCTGGGACCACTGGGACCTCTGGGACCACTGCCATGAAGGTGAAAAATCCTGAGAGAAGCAGGAAGGGTCCTTTGTTCGTGTTGCTGCTGTAACCTGGGGGCGTTCGGGGCTCCCACGGAGCCTGGGGCAGTTCGGTCCCAGCCCTCAGCCCTGGGAGCGTCTGTGCCTGGGGCTCCCTCCTGCTCCCCGAATCCATCGGCCACACGAGGGAGCGCAAGGAATTGCTGCGGTGCCGCCGACAAGTGCCCGAGGAATGATTTAGGGGAAATTTAATGGGGATTTCGCGGTGGATGGGGTGGGAACACCTCCCTTGGTGAGCAGCTCAGTGTCCCACGCGTGGAGCTGTGTGGGGTTGGAGCTCTACCTTGACAATTCCAGTGCCTGGGACTTGACGATTCCCTGGGTTTGTCATCCCACAGCTGCCTCAGCTTCCCTGGGAGTTGTCTGGAGATCCTCTGTGGGCAGCTGGGGAGTTATTCCTAGCCCAGGTTGGAATTGGAGCTTGTCTGTCCCTGGCTGGGGATTTTCAGCTCCGAGCCGAGTGTGAGAAGGGATGGAGGGGAAAACCCAACCCCATTAGAAAGCAAATGGTTGGATGCAGTAGAGGTTTTATTGTGAGATGTTGGGGATGGAGAATAAAGTCATGCAGAGTAAGAACTTCCAGCTGGTACATCAGAGGTGGATGTTTAAGCAGTAAGTGCTTCAAGAGTGAGTTGCTTTACACAATAGACCCCCTTGACTTGAAAGTCAATTTCTGTTTTCCCCCATTTTACATTTGTTGTCTTATTTCTGTTGATGGTGTAGAAAACAAAGAGCAGGATTTAAATAACAGAGTCACTGAGGTTGGAAAAGCCCTCCAGGATCATTGAGTCCCCCCTGTGCCCCATCCCCACCTTGTTCCCAGCCCAGAGCACTCAGTGCCACTGCCAGTCCTTCCTTGGACACCTCCAGGGGTGGGGACTCCCCCTCCTCCCTGGGCAAAAAACCCCCATTTTCTTCACAAATTTTCCTCTGGTGCAAAGTCAAGAGCAGAAAGAAATGTTTATTGTTAGCAGGACGAGCAGGAAAGGCCCCGTTTTTTGTTGGCACTGGGGCTGCTTTGGTGTAACATCATCTGTGTGAGTGACTGTGCCCTGGTAAAACTCACACCTCCTTTACACAGCACGGACAGAACTGTCCTCCTGCAGCTGAGACCTGGCCCGGGGTGGGCAAGAGACTGAAGATAGGAAGAGATGAGACCTCTAAACCTAATACAGAGCATAACACAGACAGGATTCACTAAGGGCTGGGTTCTAGAGGTGTCAGGATGCCCCAGAGCTCTGGTGGTTCCAGGAGAAGAGTCGTGCTCCCGAGAGCTGGCGAGGGTGAGTCTGGCTCTTCACCCCCTGGGTGTCCTGTGGGCACCTCCCAGGGGTTTATTGCTGCCCACAGTTGTACTGGTAGCTGTTGGACCACTGGTACGAGTAAGGGTAGGAGCTGTGTTGGCACAGGGGAGCTGGGGTGCACACCTGAGGGGCTGGGACACACACCTGAGGAGTGGGGGCACACACCTTGGGAGCTGGGACACACACCTGAGGAGTGGGGGCACACACTCGAGGGGCTGGGACACACACCTGAGGAGTGGGGGCACACACTCGAGGGGCTGGGACACACACCTGAGGAGTGGGGGCACACACTCGAGGGGCTGGGACACACACCTGAGGAGTGGGGGCACACACGTGAGGGCACCTCTTCACGCCCACCTGCCCACACTGGGACAGGCAGAGCTGCTCCCTGCCCGTCCCCTGGGGCTGAGGGAAGGTCACAGTGCAGGGGTTGAGGCTCCTGGGGCTGCAGCAGCAGGAGGAGGAGGAGCAGGAGTGACCTTCCACCACGTGTGTCTCCACACAGCCCGAGGAGCAGCGAGGGCTCTGCAGGGTCTTCCTCACGCTGCACACCTTGGCAGCCGTGGGGGCACACCCCGGGCACTGCACACACTTCACCACCCCGGGGGGGTGGCACTGCTGGGGGAACACGGGCGGGGGGCACTTCATTCCAGGCGGGATGTAACGCTGCTGCTTGTACTGGTACCTGTAGTAGGACATCGTTCCAGGGGGGAATGGGCCTGGAAAACAAATCAGGGGAGAGGGGTGAGGGAACTCCCTGCAGGTCTGGGGTGTGGAACTGCTGGTTGCATTGAGACTTGGAATAAGACACAGTTCTGGGGGAAAAATGAACCTAAAAGGGCCAAGTAGGGGAGAAAAGTGAAGGAATTCCCTGCAAATCATGTGATGGGAATTGAGGGGCCCAGACCTGAACACAGCACTCGAGGTGCCCTCCCCAGTGCCCAGCACAGAGGGGCAATCCCTGCCCTGCTGTGGGACATCCCAGCTCTCTCTGCCACACGTGGAGGACCCAAGGAGTCCGTTCCAAGGATGTGATTGAGCACAGGGAAGTGCTGAGACCTTGGATTTCCTAATAACAGTTTAAAATCTGCCTGCAGATCAGCTTCCTCAGCACCAGCACATGGCTCTGGGGCATCTGCACCTTGCAATTTGGTGGCAGTTGACTCTGCAGATGTACAGGACAACTCATCCCATTCCACCCCTGCCATGGGCAGGGACACCTTCAACAAGCCCAGGTTGCTCCAACCCGCCCTTGGACACTTCCAGGGATGGGGCAGCCACAGCTTCCCTGGGCAACCTGTGCCAGGGCCTCCCCACCCTCACAGGGGACAATTCCTTCCCAATATCCAACCTGAATTTCCCCTCTGTCAGTCTGAACCCAGCCCCTTGTCCTGTCACCCCAGTTCCTGATGAACATCCCTCTCCAGCTTCCCTGCAGCCCCTTCAGGTCCTGGAAGGGGCTCTGAGGTCTCCACACAACCTTCTGCTCTCCAGGCTGAACATTCCCAGCTCTCCCAGCCTGTCAAAGGCTGATCCAAACCTGGCTCTTGCTGTAAGAGGGAGGCAATAGTAACTCATCCAAGGAAGAATCCCCCAAAAAGTGCACAAAAAGGGGTCTCAGACAGGCAGAAGCCTTTTCCAGATAAAAATTATCAGTAATCCACCCCAGTCTCTGATCTGGATTGTGAAGTTCAGCTGCCAACACAAACAGTCACTTGAACCACTAAAATAAGTGGTCTCTATTATTGGAGAAATGTAGAATTCAGTTTTAACAAAGCAAATTAAAGATATGGGGACTTGAAGGCCAGATCAGAGTGGAATCCACATCCCAAATTGGGTGAGGTTCTGTAAATCTCAGGCTCAGCTTTAAAAACCTGTATCTGCCTCTGCCTTTAGAGAAACCAATCCCAAACAAACCACAAACCCAAGAACCTTTAAAAAACCATCCCTCTTAATTCCCAGTGTCAGATATTTCTGCAGGGTCCAGTTTCCAGTTCAAAGTGCCAACAAAATGTTATTTTCCCAGTTAGAAATAGAAGGAGGCAAATAACTTACCGAGCTCGCAGTGGAGAGTAGGAACTGGATTGAAAGCTTGGAAAAGGGTGGTTTTATATGGTGTTTTTATAGTCCTTCAGACCACGGAAAACCTGAGCCACTGTGGATCAGATCCTAATTAGCTACTGGGGGGAATTTGTTCCTATGCCACTTTTTCACCAGCTGTAATTATTTTACTCATTTGTGCTCGTTAATACTTTGTTATCCCTAAATCCCATGGAAAACACCTCACACCCCAGGGTTGGTTTCATTTTAAACCTTTATGGGAGACGGAAAAGCCGCCTTTTATTCCATTGACCTCATTAGTTCCACCAAGAAATGGATCCCTCTCAAAGCTGCTTTTTGCAGCCTGACAGTCCAGAGGCAGCAGCAGGAGTGGGAGATGCAGCTTCTCACTCCATTTTTCCTGCAGATGAGGAGCTGGGACGTTGGGGAACGTGGCTTTGCAAAGGGAGGGACGGAGCCACCACTGCCCTTGCAAAATGTTCCATCCCAGCGACCCCAAAGCAGGGAGAGCTTTCCAGTGCTCCCATTATCCCGCCCTAGGACCATCCCCAGAGCTCCTGCCTGGCTCCCCGAGCTCAGCTGGGGCTGTGCTGCTGCTCCCTGTCCCTGTGCCTTGTCCTCGTCCATCAGCAGAGAGACTGTGATGTAATTAAGAGCCTTTGATGTCCTGAGACGCAGCCTGTAAATTGGCTGAGTGCTGGCATTGCTCATCCCGGGGCTGAGCTCGGCCAGCTTGGCTCATGTAAAACATTAATGAGCATTTGGGAGCAGTTTGAAGAGGTCCTGTTGGGAAGGTGCTATTTAATAACCCGTCAGTGCTACTCTTGTTTTATAGACAGGTGTAAACAGCTGTCTGTGCAATCCCAGCTCTGTCAGGAGTGTCATTTATCAAAGCTCAGGTGTCTTCATTTGTCAAAGCTGAGCTGTCTCAATTCAGCAGCAGCGCAAAGCTGAGCTGTGAGGTGAGAACAGGCCCTCACACAGATCCTGTCACTCTGTTTATTCTTTTTCCCCCTTCCCAGCTCTCCTTAGAAAAAGTCCTGGTGCAGGCAGTGCTTTACCTCCCTAGTGAATGTACTACAGGTTTGTGTGTTCTGAGGGGGAATGGAGTTCTCATGGAATGGTTTGGGTTGGGAAGGACATTGAAGATCATCTCATTCCAGCCCCCCTGCCCTGGGGCAGAGGTTGGACTCGATGATCCTGGAGGTCTTTTCCGATCTAAATAATTCTGGAATTTGGTGATTCTATTTTTTTGGGATGCATTGGATCACTGGTACCTGCCTGTTTTATGGAACAGTTTGCCCAAATAATGTCTTCAGAGAGCTCCCTCCTCCCGTGTTGAGCTCTCGCTTGGTCCTTTAAGGTTTTGTCTTGATGGATGGTTTTTGTGTTTTGCATCGTCAGTTTTCAGGGTGCTGGGCTTTGATTCTTCAGCTTGTTTTACCTGGGGAGTGGAGCTGACACAGGCCCAGTTCTGTTGTCTTCCCTCCCGAGCTGCTGAGTCCTGGCTCCCATTCACCCCCGACTCATCACTTTTGTCTCCTCCCCGTCCCTGATTGGAGTCGTAACACCCTCTTAAAAACCATCCACGTGCCAGCCCCGGTTTGTGGAGCACTAACGAGCTGTTCTGATGTGCTCTGGAAATGCTTTCAGAAAGCCTTGGTGTGATTGTTGTCAGTGTTAATCTCCATGTTCAGATAAATCCACCCTGCAGTGACGTGAACCCTGAGCAGTTTTCCGCAGAAAACAAATCCCAGCAGTGGGGATTCCTCTCACACTGGAGGAAAGACCTTGGCTTTGAATTATTAATAAATCTCTAATATAGGATTTAACATTTAGTTTTATCTTCAGCTGGCTAAAACTGGTAATGAGGTGTTTAATTCCCATGTGTTTGGGGAATTACTTTGGGGATAAATCACTACCCAGTCTAAGCTGAATCTCAGCACATGTTGAAATTCTTATTCAACGCGTGGTTATCTTCAGTTATTAGTTGTGGCTGGAAGTGTCCAAGACCAGGTTGGACAGGACTTGGAGCAACCTGGGCTAGTGGAAGGTGTCCCTGCCCATGGCAGGGGGTGGGACTGGATGGTCTCGAAAGTCCCTTCCAACCCAAACCATTCCATGATTCCACGGTAGAAAATGCAGAGCCAGTTTTCCAAAGGAGCTGCAGATCTCTTCTGTCATCCCCAGACATTGTGACAGGGTGAAGATAAACCTCGGTGTGCAGTTAAACTGGCAGAACATCCCATGTTTTCCCATTGCTGTGGAAATCTGGGCTGAGGTTTCAGCTGCACAGCAGCAACAGTGCCAGGGGGTCCAGTCCTGCCCTCAGAGTCATTCTGCTGCCAGTCTGGTGAGATATCCCAGAATCCCAGAGCAGCTGGGGTTGGAAGGGACCTCTGGAGTCACCTTTGCCATCCTTGGCATCGGTTGCTGACTCAGTTGGGTGTCAGAGCAGCTCTGGCTGATGCTTAACAGGATGATAACCCCACACCAGCAGCTGCATTCCATCAGCAGCTGGGCTTCCAGAATGCAGCTTCCACTTGTTGTTCCACAGAGTTGCTGTTACAGTGGCTTTTGGTGCCCTTTTAATTGGAGAAGCGACTCACTGGCAAAAATGCCTGACAAGGTCTTGCCTCAGCCACACCCTGTTTATGGCCTTTTTGCCATCCCCCTAATCCAGCCATGATTTACAGCTTCACGAATGCAGGGCATTTAATTCCATATAAAATGTGCTCTTGCCCTTCTTTCCTTTTTTATGGGTAAAACGTGTTAGAGAATCGTGTGCTCGGCGTCGAACTGGGAGAGCTGCCCTGACTTATCCGGGGCTGCAGCTCTGTCAGTGCAGGAGTTCTGCACCGTGCCAGAGCTCTGACCAGGCTTTGGATTAATCTGATTTCACACAGAACCCAGAGCACAGTTTATCCCTCACTGTTTCAGCTCCTCCTGGGCTGAGCTGAGTGTGTTCTCACCCAGGAAAAAGGCTCATTGTCACCTGCCCAGGAACGAGTCCATTCAGGGAACACATCAGGGATGAACCACGTGAGCACGACGTGCAGTGTCCCCTCCACATAAAGCTGGGAAATAGCAGGGCCAGGAAGGCAGTAAAGGACAGGTCACGCAGGGACAGACTGATAATTACAAAGAGTGATTTATTTACACCAATTGACATCCATTAACAAAGCTGGATCTCCAGAGAAACGTGCTCAGAGATTGATCAGGATGTTCTGCCCGTGGTGATTCATGCCCTGGGCACTCTGAGGGCGAGTATAAAAGGGCTCCCCAGCAGATCTCGGCAGATCATTTCTCTGCTCTTCTCTTGTGCTGTAGGTAAGTGACACCTGAATTCCTCTCCTGACAAAGCCTGAGCGTAGTTTTAAGGCAGAGTCTTGTGCAAATGTTCTGGGATCAGTCTGAAGGTTTCTTGGACGTGGTATTTAGTGCTCTGGTCTAGTTGATAATGTGGTGATGGGTCAAATGTTGGACTTGATGGCCTTAGAGGTCTTTTCCAACCTTAATGATTCTGTAAATGGATAAATTAGTGTTCAGCTACTGGCTTTGGTAAATGCAAATCTGGGTGAGATCCAAGATTTGGACTTGATGATTCTTGTGGGTCCCTCCCAACTCACAATATTCCATGATTCTGGAATCAACATTTCACAAAGGCTTTTTCCAGATCTGTTCAACACAAGGTTTATAGGTTTCTTTTGGGTTCAACATGAGATTTATAGGTTTTTTGGGGGTTCAGCACGAGATTTATAGGGGTTTTGGGGGTTCAACACGAGATTTATAGGGTTTTTTTTGGTTCAACACGAGATTTATAGGTTTTTTTTCTGGGTGATGAGCTATGAGAGCTCTGCCTTTCCCTCGAGCCTCTTTGCAGCCTCTCCTCACCACGTTTGAGGGCGCAGCTGATAAGAACTGATGTCCTGTGTCCCTGCTCTTCCTCAGATCCCCTGAGATCCTCCCTCCCTGACGATGGTGCTGTCCCGGAGCCCCTGCACCGAGGGCTCTCCCTCGCCCTGCGGGGTGGCCGTGCCCCAGCCCGTGGCCGAGAGCTGCAACGAGCCGTGTGTGCGGCAGTGCCCCGACTCCACGGTGGTGATCCAGCCCCCGGCCTCAGTGGTCACCTTCCCCGGGCCCATCCTGAGCACGTTCCCCCAGCAGAGCGTGGTGGGATCCGCGGGAGCCCCCGAGGTTGGGGTTGGGGTTGGGTCTGGGTTCGGGGCCGCCCGCACCCCCGGCGCTTCCCACGTCTACAGCGGGGCCCGCTGGGGTCGGGGGTACCCCGTGGGGAGCTGCAGGCCCTGCTAAACCCACCGAGGGTCTCTGCTGAGAGGAGGAGCCCAGCGGGGTGCAGAGACGTGGCTGAGCCCCAGGGCACAGTGTTCCGGGAGCGCTGAGGGTTTGGGGGGCACGGAAAGCATCTGTAGGTGTTGTGAACACCCCAGAAATCCATTTATGTCCTTCTCAGATTGCCCTGCCTGATTTCCTTTTTCCTAATCCTTCCTGTCTTTCCAAGTGCTCTGTTCTTGATGCTGTGGACTGTGTTGCTAATTCCTTGGGGGCTTGTATGGATCTTTCTGGCTTTGAATAGGTTTAGATTAGATATAACAAAAAAATTCTTCTCTGGGAGGGTGGTGAGACCCTGGCACAGGTTATTCCATGGGTTCCCCATCCCTGGAAGTGTTCAAGGGCAGGCTGGATGGAGCTCTGAGCAGCCTGGTCTAATGGAAGGTGTCCCTGCCCTTGGCATTGGGGTGGAATGGGATGATTTTTAAGGTCCCTTTTAACCCCAGCTGGGGTGGAATGAGATGGTCTTTAACCCAAACCACCCTGTGCTTCTGTGATTGTGACAACATAAAGGGATCTGCTACGAGATCCTCTTTGGATCCCTCTGTAGACTCTTTCTCTGGCTCCTGGTGGATAAAAGGGGTTGTGGTGTCAAGCAGCCCGTGCCCTGTGTCTGTACTGGGTGCTCAGGGCTCCCCATCAGCCACTCCAGGAGTCATCCTGCACCAAACCACGGGCTGGGGGCAATCTGTGACCTGGACTTTGTAATCCTGCCTCTGTATCAGCTGCTTCTTCCTCATTAAACATGACATTGCAACACGTTGTTGGCCTCTGTGTGTGTGTTCCCTCCTCTCCTCCTCGCCCAGGTGCCTTTGTCCTGCTGCACCAGCCTGATCCTAGCAGGATAATGATATTCCCGAGGGATTTGGCAGTGGGTTGTCTGTGCATCTCCTTGGCACAGCAGCTCTGGGCTGTGGGTGTCCCTTCCCTTCCCACATTTCTGGTCCTGCTCAGCTCTGAGGAGCTTTTTGCTCAGTGTTGGCTTTTCTGGCCCCTGTTCCTCGGTGTCCTCAGGCTCAGCCTCCCCAGCCAGGCAGTGACACAAGGGAGCAGATGGATGGGCAGGGTTGGCATTACCAAAAAGGGCCTGCAGCCAAATGTTATGTGAGAGCAGCTATTTTTGAGGGTAAAAATTAAATTTCTGGCTTTACTGCTCTGCTCAGTGTTTTACAACAATCATCCTGTCCCTTGTTCCCTGGGAGCAGAGCCCGACAACCCCCCCCCCGGCTCCCCCCTCCTGTCAGGGAATTCCAGAGCCAGAAGGTCCCCCCTGAGCCTCCTTTTCTCCAGGCTGAGCCCCCCCCAGCTCCCTCAGGAGTTCTCCAGCCCCTTCCCCAGCTCTGTTCCCTTTGCCTGGTCCCGCTCCAGCCCCTCTGTGTCTTTTTTAAAGGGAAGGGCAACAATAGAAACGGGGTGTGCAGAAATGGGTGGTGATGTTCACTGCAGGAATTATCACTTTCCTCAGGAATCTGTTGATAATAAAGGTTTCCCAAGCTTTCCATGCTGTGCTGTGTTTGAAATGTTATGTGGTCTGTTAATAATAGAACCGGGGTAATTAAGCATTGCAGGGTGAGCTGAGAATGTGGGATTGTTTCAGAGCAGTCACTCTGTGCAGAATTATTGTCCTCCTGTGGAAGGAAAACAAAGCTGGCCAGGCACTGTAATGGTGTGTAATTGGCTGGTGGTGAGTTCTGGAGGAGGTGATTAAACCAGATTCTCCCCAGCCACAGAAACCCTTCCCTGCACAGGAGAAATCCCCCAAACCTCCAAAGCCAGAGGAAGGGACCTTTCTTGTCATGCTAATGGTGCATTTGGGAATGAGCTACAGTTTGCTGAGGCTGCTCCAGTTGCACTTCTTGTGGAATATTTTGAGATCTTCAGTTACCACAAAGCAGCAAATTCAGTAAAATGAGGAAAATTTGCCAATGTGTTTTTTTTTGGGAACTGTTTATGATACTCTTTTTTTTATTGCCATAAAAACTACTCATGTGAACTGCCCTGAGGACTGAAGATATCAAGTATCTTACTAAGCAGATTTAATGTCTTTTTAAGATAGAAGCATTTGCTGATGTCTGTTAGGTTCATTATGGAACCTAATTATCAGGGTTAACAGTAATTATGGGTTAACAATGTTTATTTAAATATGTTGAATTTTGAAAATCTTGTTTCTCTCGTTGCTTCCAACAAGGCCATTTTTTTCCTGTATCATGTCCCACTTTCCCTTCTCCTTAAAGGTTTATTTTTCTTTTGAGAAATAATTTGAAAAATTAGCCCAGTTTGGGCACTAGTCAGGGGCCCAATTTCTCATTTAGGACAGGCTTAGCCTTTAAAAGGGATTCTCAGTCTTGCAGTGAATCTCTGTGCTGGAGGCAGGTCCCGAGGCATCACCTGTGTGGGTTGTTCCCAAGGTGCATTTAAATTTCCCACAGTGCAGTAAATACATCCTGCTGGGACTGGTGCACAGGAAATTACAGAGGTGGTTTTCTGTTAGTTAAATGAGGCAGCTGCCTCTGTTATGATAATATCTCAGCCAGGAACAAAGTTCCTCTAATCATCCACCTTTTCTTCAGCCTGGGGACACGAAAGAATTCCAGATTTAGTCTCTTCATGAAAGGGGCCTACGAGGAAGTCAGAGAGGAAATGTTCATGGGGAAGTGGATGACAGGACAAGGGAGTGGGTTCAGACTGACAGAGGGGAAATTTAGGCTGGATATTGGGAAGGAATTGTTCCCTGGGAGGGTGGGGAGGCCCTGGCACAGGTTGCCCAGAGAAGCTGTGGCTGCCCCATCCCTGGGAGTGTCCAAGGCCAGGCTGGAGCAGTCTGGGCTCGTGGAAGGTGTCCCTGCCCATGGCAGAGGGTTGGAATGAGTTGGCCTTTGAGGTCCCTTCCAACTGAAACCATTCCATGATTCTATGACATAAACCCAGGAAAATGCTCTTCAGGCACCACTGGAACATGGGGGGGAACTCAAAGCTTCCTGAGATATTGGGACAGATCCACGGGAGATGAGCATTGGTGCTGTTGGCTGATGCTTGGGGGGCCCTGGAAGTGGTCTGGGCTGGAATTCCACAAAGACATGGGACTCCCTGAACCAGCCTGATGTGCTTGAATGAATGGATAATAAAGGGATGCAGCCCCAGTTAAAGGCAGAACACCCTATGAGGGCATCTGGGGTGAAAAATTGCTTTTCCTCCCTGTGTAGGCTCCAACGTTCCCATAAGCCTGACCTGCAGCAGAGGAGGAGATCCTGGATGTTCCCTGGATCCCTGGGGGGCTGAGCTTGCTTGGCTGGGAGGGTGCAGGGAGGTGCCTCGGGACACCCCCAGCACGGAGGGGGAGCCACAGCCAGAGCTGTGACATCTTCAAAGCAAAAAGGGACGTGAGGTGGCACCCGGGTGGCTCCAGGTCAGCGTGGTGGAGGGAGGTGAAGGCAGGTGAAAGGTCTGGGAAGGCTGGGGCTGCCAGGAAATCACCACCTGTGGGTCGTGTTCCCCGGGCTCTGGGTGGGGGCTGCTCCCGCTGTCGGAAGCGAATGGGCCGGGGGGGACATTGGAGAGGAAGAACCACCATAAATAATGCTGGGTTGGCAAACGTGGACAGGGACTGAGGTTAAACTGGGGCCAGAGGACCCCGGGGCGGGCTGAGAATTCCACCCAAACCTTTGGCTTTCCGGGTTCTGTTCCTGTTCTGTTCCTGTGCGTCGCTGCCGAGGCCCTTCCGCAGGTGCCGGTGGGAAAAGCCCTGTGGGCCCCAGGGAGATAAGCTGGATTTATAGTGTTGGGAGACTCCACCATTTCCTAATGTTTTCCCTGGGGAACCCAGCCCATTTTGGTGCTGACAGCAGCCAGCAGAAGGATTACTGAGCATCTCTTAATAGCTCTGCAGTTTCAAAGGGTTGCTCTGATTTCCTGCGGACGTGCCCTGCTGGCAGCTTTGGGTGGAGGTTCCTACGCTGACCCTCTTCCTGGGGCGCCCTGATCTGGGTCTGTCTTGCTCAAATTAGGACACCAGGAGGTGGTTTCTGAGGCAGCAGACCAGACCTGTGTCTCAGACAGGGAAATGGAGCTGTGGGGGCTCATCCTCTGCTGCCGTCCAGTTCAAGGGCAAAGAATTTAAGGGAAATCAGTGACATGGATGTTGGACTGGAGGAACAGCATTTACTGCTTGGGGACTGTTCTGCTGACTGTCCCTGGTTTTCTGCCCTGTTAAAGTGCTTCTCCAATCTCCTCCCTTAGTTCTTTTCTTGACCCTTTCCTCCCCTTTGCTCTGGAATGCAGAAGTGCTTCTGCAGGAGGCCACGTGGGAAGAGAAGGGGTAGCCATGGGTATCTCCTGGAAGTCAGCCCAGAGGTGGCCCCTCACAGTCACTTCTGCATCACGATTTGTGACTCCTGGTGATGCCTTTGATGTGTAGCTGGGCTTGCAGGGGATCCAAGCAGCCCTGTCTGGGCTCTGCCTGTTGAACCACCTTGTTCTGCGCCAGATTATAATCTTTGGTGTTCTAAATCTAAATCAAGACTCCTCAGTCTCCTAGGGTGACATGCTAAAGGCTGGCAGGAACTCCCTGAAGAACCTGGCTGTTCAGTTTGCAAAGGAGATGATCCCTCCAGCAGATGGTCGTGGCTTGGTTGCCTTTGGTCTTTTCTTTCAGGTGTCTTTGACCTTGAGTGTCACCGCTCTCCTGCCCTGGCAGACCACGAGACTTCCCCTCAGTCTCTTGCTTTTTGAGATCTCTTGCTCAGACACAACCCCCAGCTTTGCTCCAGGAGTCTGTGTTTGGGGGTACAGTCAGTCAGCTGGTGCCTCTTTTTGGAGCAGAACTTGGGCAAGCCCAAGGTCACAGGATAGCTGAGGCAGAACTTCCTCCTACCTGGGGAAATGAGTCAGGGCAGGAGCAATCCAGGTGGAGATGTAGTGATTGTCTCCAACATCTGGAGTCTAGACTTCCCTCCTGTTCTATGGCTCTTTGGAGTGGCTGGTGGTCCTTTTTAAGTGGTGTGTGAGCCCAGACAAGAGAAGACCAGACACCTGATGCAGCTAAACAGAGTAATTTTAATGAAAATGAGAAACAGTGAGTTACAGAAAGAACAAGTTTGCAGAGATACAAAAGGGTCTTCAGCAAGCAGAGAGTTTCTGATGGTGGGTGATGCTTTTCCTGGTGGGAATGGTGGAGTTTGACAGCACAGAACAAGTTTCTTGCTCACAGAGTTGCTTGGAAGTCACGTTCACTGCCAGATGAGGCACAGCACGGACATGGAACAGGAGCTTCTCTACTAGATGTCATCTTGAGTGAAGTTAAAGGCTGAGCAAAGTGGTTGCAGGAACTCCTACTACTATGACAATACCAAGGGGTTGTGACTTAAAACTGAAAGGCACTTTACTCACACCCAAGGCCTTGCTCTACTCCCCCAACATGCTCTGAAGGTGCCTCAGCTCTTGCTGCAATTCAAGTTGCCCTTTGGAGCTACAGCTGAAGAAACAGGAGAGGTTAGAGAGGGTTACACATGGAGTGGTTACACAGGGAGTAGTTACACAGGGAGTAGTTTCAGGCAGCCTGGCACCCACGTGTCCCCCTGAACTCAGCCAGGGGGTGGGCACTGGGCGTTCTCAGCCCCAGAAATCAGCCGTGAGTCCGTGTCCTGCATTTCAGTCCTTGGTTGCTGTTCCTGCTTCAGAAGAACCTGCCCCCGAAACGAGAGAAGGGGTATCCGTACCCACTCCCGTATCCGTACCCCAACCCGGACAGGTCCCCGTACCCGTAATAGCCCCCGTAGCCAAGGAAGCCCCTGTTCCCAAACAGGCTCCCAAAGCCTCTGTAGCCGTAGGGGCTCCCATATCGGAACTGGTCCCAGGAGTAGCTGAAGGGCCTCCCAAATCTGAAGCCGTAGAGGTCGTCGTACCCAAACTGGGAGTAACACCCGTCGTCGCAGAAGTCCCTGTAGAAGGTCATCGTTTGTTGATGCTGGTGAGCCTGGAACACACCCAGAAATCAGGTTTATGGGCTGCTGACGGCAGGAGGAAAGGCTGGAAGGAGATGCAACTCCTTCCCTCCTGTGTTCATCCTCCTAATTACCTCATTTATTTTTCTAATCTCCCGAATCCCAAACAACTTCTCTAATTTGTTCCCCCCTCAGCTTTTGGAAATCGCTGACTGAACATGGAAAAGAAGGTTTTTGCCAACCGAGAACTGAACTTTCCCACTCCGGAATTCAGAGGAGTTTTAATGAACTAAAGAAAAATACACAAATATAATCCAGAATTGGAAATCACTTTTGGCTTCAAAATTATGGTAGAAAACTTCAAGTTTTCAGCACTTTAAAGCCTAAATATTCAGTAAGCCCAGGAAAGAAGAGCAAAAAAGTTTGAGTGAAGGAATTCCCTGCAATTGCAGGAAATTTTGTGTTTGGAATTTGCTCCAAAATGACAAGAAATTGCTTACAGAAGGTCTGTACCTGTACACAGACACACATTACATATGTCACATATAAATGGACACGCCAGTACCTTTTATAGATACAAATTTAATTATAAATATATATATTTTTATATATATCCAAGCACACACAGATATTTGGACAAACACAGAGACACGAGAGCAGAGTCAGGATGGACTTACCCGGTTCACCGAGGGGAGCAGTTGAGTGGCTGAGAGGAGTGAATACATTTCCGGGCTCGGAGGTCCGTATTTATACCCTCCCGAGCTCCAGAGTTGTCCAGGATATCTCATCAGACCCTTTGTCCCTCCAGTTGACGTCGGCGGAGTCACCGATTTTCATATTTCCCGAGCTCGGCGTCGCGACACGTGCGTAACACCTCCAGAATTTCTTTAATCTCGAAACGAGGAGAATCTCTGGGAAAATTGCAGGCAGTTCCCTGTGGTTGGAGGGCTGGCAATAATTTGGGGAGACGTTTAGACCATTGCCTGTTGCGCAATCGCCTCGTGGCTGCTCTGTTGGCTTGGCTTTGGCATCCTGTGGTGCAACAAGTTGGGGACCAAAGGCACGGGCTCGGCTTTGGTGTGCCGAGGAGGGCTGGAGCTTCCCAGCATCATCCTGACCTCTGCCTGCTTCCCGGTGACCCTGGGGGGTGTCCCTTCCCAGCAGCTCTGTTGGATTTTGGTCTTGGGTTCTACAACAGCAGCGTCAAAGATGTTTTCCAACTGCCCTGTGAACATTCCCAAATATCCCTTCCTATTTTAGAACATTTTTATGGAGGTTTTTGACTTTCATACAACAAAAGCAGCACCTTAATGGGGCTTGGAAACAAGAGACCTTGAAGTGTCTTGGAAGTGACCGTGTTATTAAATCTGGAGGTGTCTTTCAGTGACAAACTATTAATATTTAAATCCTGCAACACTTTGCAAATTGAAAACATTAATGACTGTTTATGAAGTGCTTTGGTATTCAAAATTCTGAGGAAGCCTCAACATCCTGTTTGCTCATTATTACGCTTATTTTCCATTCAAATTAATGCCAGGAATTAGGTGAAGGTCACACAAGGAGTTCTGCCGTGAACTCTGGTGTTCCTGGAGTTGGATACACGTGGTTGATTCTTTGTGGAAAAAATATGGACGTGATTCTTTGGAAAATAGCATTTAGAGCTCTTTTAGTGCTAATCTTTATGATTTCTTTATTTCCACATCAAGTTCATACCTGAATTCTCCACGTTGTTGTGCTGAGGTCAAGCCCTTTAGTGAATTAAAGTGTTGCAAACAACGCCAGAGTCATAATTTTTGTTGAAAACATTCTTTCTGCTCATGCAGCAACATGACTTCGATTCATGAGCACTTTGGAGGAATGGAATTAAGATTTATTTATGGTTCTGGCTGTTTTTCCTCAAGCTGCTGAAGTTTGATATAAAACTCCTACATCTACATTTGCATTTCCTTTAAATGAAAAGCCTGTGTCGTGTTGCATCAGTTTCTAGTGAAAAACAAATATCCAGTACATGGAAAAGCTTTCCTTTTTAACTGAAAATCTCTCTCTCCAATGTCCTTGAGAAGGCAGAAATGACTTTCATATTATACAGAAATAAACTTCAGTTTTCACAACGGAGACAATAAAATGGTATCAGGAATGTAGCTGGCCCAGAAAATTGGCAGATGAAAGGAACCTGTAATACGTGTGCCATATGGGAGGCTGGGAACACACTAATAATCCCAAACAATGAAGAAAATTATATTAATTGAAGATATGACGTGTACAGGCAAATTTGTTTTCCAACCAATAAGGCTCCCAACCTTTTTGAATACTCAGGGCGTCTGAGATAAGCCAGGAGGGCCAGCAGGGAGTATAAAAAGGGCCGGGAGCTCCGGGCTCCTCAGCAGCTCCTCTGCCTTCCTCCTCCTGGTGAACTCGGTAAGTTTTCCCTCCTTCCTTCACAGGGATTGGGAATTTTGCCTGAGTGATTTCTGCTGGGATTGGGGCTGCTCTGAAATTTAAGATTTCTCTCCAGGAATTCCTCTACATTTTAAGGTTTGAGCTGCGCTGCAGGAGTTGGTGGGTTCAAGTTTTAAAGCTGGGGGTGAAACAGGTCCTGTTGGTCCCTGAGGCTCCCTGATAAGGGATTATTAGGGCAGCAGAGGTAGAAATGGGTTTCCCCACCATGACCCTCGGTGGCTTTTTTCCATAAATCTCTTTTAAGTGAGATCTGCAGGTCTGTTTGGCAGGACAGGTGTTCTCAGGTGTGTCAATGCTCCGTAGGTGGTTGTGTGTGCTGTCAGCACTTCTAGATGCAAATTAAAATGGGTGGAAATCACTGAAATGGCACTTGGAGGGATGAACCCAAACATCACTTTGGGCTTTCTTGAAGACTTCCTTGATGGAGCTGGGAATGCAGAGCTCCATGCAAAGCTGATGTCCTGAAAGAAATTTAGGGTTGTCCACTCCTAACAGATATTCTCTAAGAAAAATCCTGAATCAGCAGCAAGGTTTTGGTCTGTAACAGGTGATTCCATGGTCAGGGTTTTCACCAATCATAGAAAGTGAGAAAACCAGATAGTTTAAAGGCAGGTTGGATATGATGGTCCTTGTGGGTCCCTTCCCACCTGGCAGATCCTGTGATTCTGTGTTCTTGGGGAGGGTCCTGTGCAGGGCTGAGAGCTGGACTCGATGGTCCTGGTGGGTCCCTTCCAACCCAGCACGTTTGTGGCATTCTGTGGGTAAATAAGCCACAGAAATGGGCTGTAAGGAGGAGCTGAGGTCACGACATTGCTCCTGCCCTCGGCCTCGCAGGACCCCTGAGGAAGTTTCCGGGCTCTGTCGCTGCCGTTGGGAATATTCACGGGAATATTCACGGCCTCTCCTTCCCTCCCCGCTGCCAGGTTTGCCTCCAGCACACAAAGATGACCTTCCTCCAGGGCCAGTGTGAAGACGATTGCTACTCCCCCTGTGGCTACCGGGGCTACGACTGCGGGAGCCCCTGCGGCTACCGGGGCTACGGGGGCCTCTACGGCTACCGCGGCCTCTACGGCCTCGGCGACCGCTACGGCTACGGGGGCCTCTACGGCTACCGGGGCCTCTACGGCTCCGGGGACTGCTACGGCTACGGTGGCTACCGGGGCTTCTACGGCTACGGGGACTGCTACGGATACCCCGGTGTTTACTCGGGCCGCTACGGTTACCCCTACGGCTCCCGCTACGGCCAAAGGTACGGCTACGGGGGCTGCTACAGCTGCTGAACCCGGCCGGGACGGCCCTCGGGGGAAGGTCAGCCCAAGCCTGGCACGCAGGGGTTGATGGAGAACCTCGGCAGCAGAGGGTGTGCAGGGCCCCGGGCGCACCGCCCGCCCTCCGCGGCGGCTTCGAGAGCTCTGCGCTGCCCTCGAGGTGCTTGCGATGATCCCTCTTCGTTCTGCTCGGTGTCTGCTGCTGCTCCTGCCACCCAGAGTCTCCCCTTGACCTAGAACCTGCTTCTCCTCGGTGCTCCAGTCCTCGGAAACCGGCTCTGATGTTTGCAATGATGTACAAAGCCTGAGCTCTGGCCGGGTGGTGGGCAGGGTGTAAAGGCCTCTTTGGGAATGTGGGCTCTCTGTTCTGTGTCTCTTTATAAAGTACATCTGCCTTTCACTTGTATTAAAAACTTATTCTGCATCAATCCTGCATTTTCCTGGTTTTATTTTCCACTTTATTTCTGAAATATCTTCAAATCCATAGCAGCAAACAGTGACAAATTTATTAACTTGGTTTGCTTCAGGACTTGCCTGTGGAGGCTTGTCCTCCTCAGGCTGGAAACAGGGACTTTTGGAGCTGCAAGAAACTTGAACTGTGGCTCTGGATTTGCATGTTCCTACAACTCCAGGCTTTGGCTTGGTGGGAAATAAGTAATTCATCTCCAGATGCTTCGGTGCTGCTGTTGGGCCAGTGTGGTGTGATTAGGACATGAGCCATCACTGCCTGTGACCTGATATTGGACAGGAACTCTGGAACAAGAACACTGAATTTGGCTTGCAGGAATTGGACAATATTCTGCTCACTTGAACAGTTTTCTGTATTCTCTGTGCAGGTCTGGGACTAATTCTTTTATATTTGCAACATTATTATGAAGACCATTACAGCCCTATTGTGCTGAAGTATTAACTCCACCCCAGGTAAAACCAGCACGTTTAACCTTAAATCTGGTAATAGTTTAATTAAGTAAATGAAAAGGAGAAACTGGGGCATTTCTTGCATTTCTGAGGGGTAAAAGGGAAGAGAAGAGTGTATTTACTGGGACCTCAGTGGACTGATTTTCCAGATTCTTCCCCAGCTCTATTCCCTTTGCTGGACATGTTTCAGCCCCTCAATGTCTTTCTTTCCATGAGGGGCCCAGAACAGGACACAGAACTCGAGGTGCAAATACTTTGCCAGCTCTGGGGACAGAAAGTCCTTTCAGGATGTCACCACTCACCACTTTACATGTATTCACGTAAAACAGGGACAGAGGCAAGAAAACAACTGGATCTCCAGGGTTTTTTAAATGCAGAAAGACTTTATTGCAGCAAGAAAAGGAGTTGGCACAGATACAGAAAGATTATAGTTTTGGGATACTGGAAGGAGCTACAGGAGGTGAGTCACTGCACTGGAGAACATTCCTTCTTGTTGGAGCCACCTTGTTCATCCTCCAGGTGCTTGTAAATCCAGATCAAAGGCAAGACAGCTGTGATCCTGCTCCTTTACAGTCCTGCAGCACCTTACTGGAAGTACTTATTGAAAATGCAGATGACCCAAAATCTCATATTGCACAGGTCCTTCAGAGCAAGAAGTTCCACAGGAATTGCAGATCGTCCCTCCCGTCGCTGACGGGGCTGTGAGGGCCTTTAAATACAGGAGACTACCAAGAGGGTTGAGAAAGGCAGGGAGAAGCAGACAGAAGGAGCAGGAAGAACAGAAATCCCCCGGAGTTTTTAGAGCAGGGCCGAGCTCCTCATCCTTCGTGACCTCGGGTGCCCCGGCGGGGACTCGGCGCGTGTCCGAACGTCCCGTCGGGGCTCAGCCCTCGGCCTGGGGGGTGCTGGGGGAGCCATAGGGGGGGTTTAGCAGCAGGAGGAGCAGCAGCCGTAGGAGTAGCAGCAGGAGGGGTAGTAGTAGCGGGTGCTGCGGGCGCGGTACCCGCAGCAGTCCCCGCAGCCGTAGCTGCGGCGGCAGCAGCGCAGGGTGCGGACGGTGCAGGGGCTGCAGCAGCTGTAGGTGCGGCAGCAGCGAACGCTCCGGTACCGGGGGGAGCAGCACAGGGTGTAACAGGGGGAGTAGCAGCAGCAGGACATCCTGAGGGGGTGCAGGGAGGGAGGGAGGAGAACCTGAAACAGAGCAGGAGGTCGAGGTTAAGCTCGGCTCGCAGCCAGGAGGGTTCGGGTGGAAAGATGGAGCAAATCCCTTTGTTCGGGTGTGATTCTCGTTTCACAGGATCACTGAGGCTGGAAAAGACTTCCAAGAGTCCAAGCTGTGACCCAGCCCCAAGCTGTCACCCAGCCCAGAGCACCGAGTGTGGGAAAGGCTTCACTTTGCTGCGGTAACTTGGTTTTTGGTTGGTTTTTATGAGTTTGCTCTTCTGATTTTCCACATTGAGCAGAGATATGTTCAGAGTCCCCAAATCCTTGAGGTTGGAAAAGACCTCCAGGATCATGGAGTCCCCCCTGTGCCCCATCCCCACCTTGGCCCCAGCCCAGAGCACTCAGTGCCACGGCCAGTCCTTCCCTGGACACCTCCAGGGGTGGGCACTCCCCCACCTCCCTGGGCAGCCCCTGCCAAAGCCTGACCCCCTTTTCCATGAAGAAATTCTTCCTGAAGAAGAAATGAAGTGTTTGTGGGAGTTTGATGTCCAAGCTCCCAGCCCAGGCAGCTGAGGTAAATCCCAAGCTCCAGATAAGATGTTTAGGTGTCCTAAATCTGACCTGGATCCCTCACAGCACTTCCAGCAGTTCTCAGAAGTGTTTATACACAACCCAGCAAGTTCATTAAAGTCTCAGCCCTCCTTGTCAGGCTTTAATCTTGGCATATAAATTATTCCTTTTCTGTTTAACACTGGCTTTGTTGGTGCCGGTTCTAGCAAGGACACTGAAAATCCTCTGCTGCAGAATGAAGGTTTAAATCCTGGATTGCTGCAGGTCAGAGCTGCCCCAGTGACTCCAGAGCCACTAAAACAATCCATGTGACCTGCCCATATTCATTATTGCCACATCTTTCCAACCAAAAACCATTTCCTCCTTGTGCAATGGGCAATTCTGCCCATGAATGAAAATTTCAGGGTTTAAGTATCACCAGGTTAAAAAAGAAACACAGAACTTCCAACTAGGCTTCACTCCTTCATGTCCACTCATCAATGCCCTCCAGATTAAAACATCCAGGGTAAAACCCTTGTTAGTGCAGGATTTATCCCCGAGTTAAAGGAACCTTTACGAGAACGGGATCTGGACTTACCAAGTTCACTGAGAGGAGTAAACCAAGAGGAGCTGTGTGAGGAGCACTGGGGTTGTGAGCATTTTTATATTCTTTCTTAGACCTGTGGAAGTCACCTCAGTTCTGCAGGGCAGTCACGAGACAAATTTGGGAAGTACATCAGCAGCCCAATTGCTATAATTGTTTTCCTCCCCCTTTAGGCCAATTTTCACATTCCTCAGGTAGGGCCTTGTGATCACACCCTGGGAGATTCTTTCATCTGAAAACTTTCCAGGACAAAGGGATTTTTGGGAAATCACCCCAGAGGACAAGTGGGGCTGGAAGTGGAGGCTGCACGAGCAGTCCCAGCTGCACGAGTGGCCCAGCTGAGGAGTCCAGGGCTCATTTCTTTAGGTTGTGCCCCTCCAAGGGAGGTGGATGCTGCACATTATGGGGTGATGTCAAATACCTGGGGAGGAAAGAAATATTGTCCAACCTGCTCAGGGCTCCTTCCGACCCTTTTGATTCATTTCCGCCACAATTAATGACAGACCTGCCATTGATTCTTTTCGGTTCTTCTGCTGCCTATAATTTGTCCTCTGAGATGTCCAGGCATAGGATCAATTAAATCAGCGTCTGAGCAATGTGGTCAAGGCTCAAAGTCTGGGTTTTTTTGCCCCTTTTCTGGGTGAAATTACTAGAAAGACTTTTCTGAGTCAGTGTCTTGGGGTATCAGAGGCATCGAGGAGGTATTTATGTCGTGCTTATATAGCTGAGATTCTCCCCCTCTGCTCTGCTCAGATCCCACCTGGAATACTGAGGCCGGCTCTGGTGGCCCCCAACATAAGAAGGACATGGAACTGTTGGAGCAAGTCCAGAGGAGGCCACAAAGCTGATAAAGGGACTGGAGCCCCTCCCCTGTGCAGACAGGCTGGGAGAGCTGGGAATGTTCAGCCTGGAGAGGAGAAGGTTGTGTGGAGACCTCAGAGCCCCTTCCAGGACCTGAAGGGGCTGCAGGGAAGCTGGAGAGGGATGTTCATCAGGAACTGGGGTGACAGGGCAGGGGGGGTGGGTTCAGACTGACAGAGGGGAGATTTAGGTTGGATATTGGGAAGGAATTGTTCCCTGGGAGGGTGGGGAGGCCCTGGCACAGGTTGCCCAGGGAAGCTGTGGCTGCCCCATCCCTGGAAGTGTCCAAGGCCAGGTTGGGCTCGTGGAAGGTGTCCCTGCCCATGGCAGGGGTGGAATGGGATGAGTTGTCCTGTACATCTGCAGAGTCAACTGCCACCAAATTGCAAGGGCTGCAGAACAAATCCAGGTTCCCTGAGGGTCCCTCCCAGGGGCTGCAGCAGAGGAAGGAGGGAGAGCAGTTTTTAGGAAGGTGGGGAAGCCAGTGGGATGGAGAGCACGTGTTCCTGGCTGGGGGAAGCTGAGGGAGGGGGTGGCTGCTCACCCAGTGCCCCCTCACTTCCCAAAGGCTGCTGAGGGGCTGGACCTGCAGGAGGGATTGTCCTGATCCAGGAAAGTGGGAATCACTTCCCTGATGTCCCGGGTGGTTTTACCCAGGGAGATACATCTGTGCCTCTGTCAGCCCGCACCAAGTGATGCCACGGCTTAGTGTTAATGAAGCAAAACCTCGTTAGCCCAGGGCTTCCCTTCCTTGTGCAGCCAGGCCCCTTTCAGCACCAAACCATTGGTGTTTAAATAACACAAACATTGCTAAAGTAACTTTTAATGACTGTTTTGGGAGAGCATTGATACCATAAATGCTGAGGAGGCTCAGCACTTCCAGAATGCCTGTTATTATCCTCATTTAATATGCAAATGAGGCTTGGCTCACTCCAGGGAAGGTCAAACAAGGAGGTATTTGTTGAGTTGAAAAAAAAGCCTCTTGGCTTCGTGTTGGGCTCAGTTTCCTCTGGGGAACCAGAGGTGGGGTTGAAAACCAGCATCAGTAAGTTTTGCTGTAAAATATTAACATAATTTTACCTTCTTTACATTCTCCTGCCCCTTCTGGTATCTGGGGTTTTATAACTAAAGCTGAGGTCGACCCAAACAATTTCAAGGCAAAAGAAACGTTGTCCAGTTGAGATGAAAATAAATTAATGGTCCTCGATGGGGAGGGAACCAATTATATTAATTGAAGTTGTGACGTGTGCAAATAA